GGGGGGGCGACCGGCTCGAAGGGGAGGAAGCGGTCCCCGACCTGATTTAGTTTTTTGTCAGTTTTGATTAGTGAGATGGATAGGTTTATTATTTTTTTTAAGAAAATGGTAAAGTATTTTTTCTAGTCCAGGGGACACCTATGGGCTCGGTCTACTGGACGGATTCGGATCATCTCCACTACAAAAAAAAACAGTGGAGGGACCACTACATAATCACGGCCATTGATTATCTAATTAATGGTTGTGATTTTTTCTTTTAATGTAAATTAGGAATGAGTGCAATACACGGGGGTATGGTAAGTGTTATATTTAGATTGTATCATAACCGCCTACTAAATAATCAACGATTGAAATTAAAAGCAGTGATCTCTTCACTACTTTTTTGTAGTGGAGAGGATCCAAATCCCTACTGGACACTTAGACTGTTAAGGCATTTAGATGGAGAAAATATCAAATGAATTTAGGTTCATGACATTAAATGTGCACTAAAAATCGAGCCGGTAGCTTACACTAAGTCGTAGATCACATCCACGGGGGATCAACCAACAAAGTATATTCATAGACTGGCCTCAATAAACAATGTTTTCGCTTTGACAGGATCGCAAACGGCAAGAAAGTTCTAATCTGTCAATTTTTAAATCATTAGGTTTCAAGATTCGTGCGTGGGTCCAATGATGAGTAAGAATCTTATCACAAAGTCATGCACCGCGTGGGACGTTCTGAGTCATGTATTTTGATTTGGAGGAGCGGTTTTATATTTTTAATGTCCCATATTTGGCACAGTGAACCCTACATCGTGCATGTTCTGCAAGAACTCCTTCCATCTAATATTTGGTATTTGTTTGGTAAACATTTAATCAAGTAATCTCTTTGCCGAGATTCCTGGCTACACCATTGCATTTAATAACATGAACCGAGTATTGGATACTGTCTCCCTTGGATGGGTGGAAAATAAAGGAAGAATTAGTAGTACTCTTTTTTTTTTTTTTTTTTTAGAAAAGGATACTGTCTCCCTTGGATGGGTGGAAAATAAAGGAAGAATTAGTAGTACTCTTTTTTTTTTTTTTTTTTGAGAAAAATGATGGACTACCACAAAGGTAATCCAGCCAGCTAAATTAATCAAAAGTGGTTGTTACATAAAAATACACACCCCCAACCAAGAGTGAGTATTATAGTCCATATCAGAAGCTACATAGAAAGAAAAACAACACCCCTCTGTACTAACCATGGATCTCCAACAAGGGGAAGATCATAATAAGGTCTAACAAAAACCAAAAGCAGAGCAGTTCACATTGGAACAGAGTTCTAAAATATAGAAAACAAAGAACATCACTACTGCACCTTTTGTAACTCATTCTAACTGAATCACCATATTCTCCACACCTCTGTCTTCTCTTCTAACCGCTCCAGCAGCTTGGAAACTATCAGCATTCCTCTTTCTCCTCCTCTCCTGTAGTCTGGCAGCTCGAGCAGAAGCTTTTTCAGAACCTAGCCAAAATGTTGCGAAGGTCATAATCTTGTTCAAAAGCTCAAGGGACTTCTTCCTTTTATTAGAAAAGATTCTATCATTACGTTCCTGCCATATGCACCAAACCAAAGAACAAATGATCACATCCCTTTTCAATTTACAGTTTTCAACATCACCAGCTTTCCATTTAAGCCAAATTTCTTTCAAGGAATCCAAACTAAAATTTTCCTCAGTCTCCAATTTGAATTGAATTGATCTCCATACTGAGTATACAAACTCACATTTGATGAAAAGATGTGTATGATTCTCCTCTAATTTAGAACATAAACAACAAGTTTTATCCAAAATGACTCCTTTCTTTTCTAGAACATCTTTTGTGTTCAAGCTTTGTCTAAGAGCCAACCAGACTAGGAATTTTACTTTTAAAGGGATGGGAAGCTGCCATAAATTTGCACAATCATATCTTACACCCCCATCAATTAAAAATTGATAGAAAGAGGAAGCTGCCATAAATTTGCACAATCATATCTTACACCCCCATCAATTAAAAATTGATAGAAAGATTTCACTGTGAAACTCCCTCTTGTCTCCCAACTTACACCCCCATCAATTAAAAATTGATAGAAAGATTTCACTGTGAAACTCCCTCTTGTCTCCCAAAGCTATTTTCTTTTATCCTCCCTTTGCTCTAATTAAACAGATGGAGTTTATTAGTCTCATCATAGAACAATATTGGGGAACAAGAACCCCAACTAACTGCTTCTTAAACTGAATATTCCATCTCCACATATTATTCTTTTTTTTTCTCATGCTATTAACAACAGCAAAAGGATACAATGTTATAACATATAAGGATGGAAATGAAGATGAAAGAGTAAATGGGCCTAACCATTTGTCCAGCCAAAAAAAAGTATGATTTCCTTTCCCAGCCTCCACTTGAGAGCTGCATAAAAAACTTTCAATATTAACACAAAAGTTCCTCCAAAAGTAGGATAACAGAGCTCTCCCAGAATTAGTAGTACTCATTCAATGATCCGTTCTTTTATCGTATCATCTTAGCAACAGACTACGTTCATTAGACAGTCTTCCTTGTATAATTCCTCGGAGACTGGAATGTCCTTTATAATCTTCAACTTGATAATAATCTAAAGGAGATCGATCGAGTTTCATGATCATCTTATTTGTAAAAAAAGAGTTGCAGAGTGACCACCAACTATTATCACGGGCTGCCCCTTTTGTGAATGATTGTGATGCAAATCGAACTATGTAACTTAATAAAAAAACTATATATAGCATTCGTCCGTGACAGAATATTAATACTCCCTTCTAGCTCTTTAATTAATTAGTAGCGCCACTTGCTTAGATCGACGAAGCCCAACTTACCCCGCAAAAATTGCACCGACACCGTTATTAACTTCCACAACCAAAGACGCACAGTTTGGTGCACGGGCGCACGGGATCCAAGGGAGTCCACTCATAAACATTCGCACGCAAAGGTATAGATAAATATATGTTTGTTTGCTGATAAATACTGAATACATACAGTAATACATCCATATCCGCGATACTAAATGAAATCTGAACACGATTAATTAATTTCTTAACTTTCAACCTTCAATTATTAATTAGTGAAATTGAGATTTCTTAATTTGGTTATCAAGGGATCGTTTAACAAATTTTGATTTTGAGAAAAATGTATTATTTTACGTAAAAAGCTTTTTGCAACGCTTGATTTATTATGTATTTCTCAAGTCTTTTTGCAACGCTTGATTGGTGAAGGTGTTGAGGGGGCTGTCGAAGGGTGGGGTGTCGACGGGTCGAAAGACGGGCATGGTGTATCGAGCGGGCTGTTGAAGGGTGGGGGCGGCGTGGTGAAGGTGTCGAGGGGGCTGTCGAAAGGTAGGGCAGCGTATATATATATATATATATATATAGAGAGAGAGAGAGAGAGAGAGAGAGAGAGAGAGCAAAACTTATGTCAACTTAAGTGGACGTCTACTAAGTTTCTTAGTCATTGATGATCACTTGATTGAGCTACATTGTGGATGATCCGCTCCGTTGAACTTGATCTACATATTCTAAAACCCAAACACACCAAATTTGGGGTGAACCCGTCGTGGTTTGACCCTCCGTCGAGCCATGTAAAAAGTTCTATTCATTTGAAACCGTTAAAATTGATACGAGTATATGTACAATATCAATATGGATTTCTCTATCCGTGTTCTTACTATTTATATATGTAACTAGTGAGTTGATATATGGGTGAAAACTCCTATCAACTTAAGTTGATAGGAAATAGTTGTCCACCAAACTTTTTATCCATGGATCTTGCCTAGGGATCCTTGCATGATATGAAGAGACTTTTTATATTAATAAATGAGTGGCTAAAAGGTTTGGTGGACAACTATTCCCAATCCACTTAAGTTGATAGGAGTCTTGCTCTTGATATATGTACGATATACTTAATACGAAGAAGAAAAGTTCTACTATACATCACTCTACCCTTTGCTAGTTCATTTTGAGGCTTTTGCCAAATAAGTAGTACATACAATAGTTGAAATGAGATCATCTCCTCGTGCATAGCGTCCTAATATTTTCTAATGTTCAATCTTAACCATTCATTTTACACATGTGGGGCCCATCGGAGGGGATGAATGCATTAAGAAACATTAAGAAATACTATGCATGCGGAGAGGATCCGGATCCACACCATAGTTCCATAATGAATATTGTATCTATCGATGCCTACGCATAGGCGTGCGTAGAACGTGCTACGATCAAATTAGGCTTGTGGGTTTTTGTCGTGTCGTATACTTCGGCGTGCCCTTTTGTTACAGGTGCGTGGTATGTGAACATGGGTTATACTTTGTACTTTGGTCGCAAGCTTCCACGTGGTTGGGGAGTTAAGTTATGGGGCCCACACACGTGTAGGATATTTAATTTAGGCCCGTGACTATATATCTCATGACGGGAGCATGATTTTTTTTATTAATAGAATTGTAGATCAATGGAAGTCATATCTAAATCTCGTAAATATTCAGGCCGCATGCGATGGGTAAATCCTCTCCGTTAAAATTTACATTTTAGATCTTTATCTTGTTTAGTGCAAATTGTTATAAATAGGCTATGATGGATGGCCTTCACTTAAAAAATTGATCAGTCAGCTAGCTTCGGGTCTTGATTTGTCCAAAACCGATTAGCTATTGGATTAATTTTCTGAAGTGATATCACGGGCTCGTGTTTTTTAGTAGGCTTTTCTTTTGCCATAGGCTAGCACTCCAGCGCACACAATGCGTGCATGATATGGTACATAAATTTATTTGTTAAACTTGACACACGTGATCAAAACCGGTTAGCTATTGGATTT